TGATCTCTCTTTATAAGAAGACAAGAATAGATAATATAGAGAGCCCAATGTTCATTGATAGTTACCAGGGAGAGGACGATGGAAATATGTTTTATGCCAGACTATTTTGGTGATGGGAAAAGTGGTGCCAAAGGTGGATGTAGTGAGGACAGCACAACTAAAGTAAAAACAAATGTTTAAGCACATATAGATGAGTATAGGCAAATTGATATATGGGTAGATGTTAAGTGTATACAAGAGCTCTAGTGGTGTGGTGCCTAAGGCATTTGACTGTTAATCAGGAGATTGGTGGTTCAAACCCACCAGATGCTCCACAGAAGGAAGATGGGACAATCTACTTCCATAAAGATTTACTGCCTCAGAAATTCAAAGGGGGTCACTCTGAGTCGGGATCAACTTGATGGCAGTGTGTTTGGATTTGGTTTGTTTGTTTTGTTTTGTTTTTGAGTAAGGGTATACATAGGTGAGTACAGATAGAAGTACCTTTAGGTACGTGTAAATACAAATATGTGAGTGCAGGTGCATATATTCATTTAAGATACAAATACAGATAGTCTCAGACATAACCAAAGACCTTCCAACATTGGTCTTCTGTGTTTGAAGGCTTAGGACCATATAGTCTCATAGGACAACTCAGTGAATAGGCATAACACGTTGCTGTTGTTGTTAGGTGCCATCAAGTTGGCTCTGACTCATAGTGACCCTGTGTGCAACAGAAAGAAACACTGGTCCTGCTCCATCTTCAAAATCTTTGCTATGCTTTAGTCAATCATTGTAGCTACTGTGGCACTCCATCTCATTGAGGGTCTTCTCCTTTTCTCTGACCGTCTGCTTTACCATGCATGATATCCTTTTCCAGGGACTGGTCCTTTCTGACAACATGACCAAAGTATGTGAGACAAAGTCTGTCCATTCTCATTTCTAAGGAACAATCCATCTGTACTTCTTCCAAAACATAATTGTTATTTTCTTCTGCCAGTCAGAAAATATTCTGAAGAACATTTTCAATATTCACCAATACCACAATTCAGATGCATCAATTCTTTAGTCTGAATTATTCACTGTTCAGCTTTCATGTGCCTATGATGCTATTGAAAAGACCATGGCTTGGGTCAGGTATGCCTTAGTTTTCAAAGTGTGGTCTTTGCTCTTTAACACTTGAAAGAGGTCCTTTGCTGCATATTTGTCCAGGGCAATATGTTGTCCGATTTCTTGACTGTTGCTTCGATGGGTGTTGATTGTAGATCCAGGTAAAATGAAATCCCTGACAACTTCAATCTTTTCTCCTTTTATCATGATGTTGTTTATTGGTCCAGTTGTGAGGACTTTTGTTTTCTTTATGTTGAAGTGTAATCCGTGCTGAAGGCTGTAGTCATTGGTCTTTGTCAGAAAGTGCATCAAGCCATTTTCACTTTCAGCAAGCAAGGTTGTGTCATCTGTATATCACAGGTGGGTAATGAGTCTTCCTCCAATCCTAATGCCGCATTCTTCTTCATATAGTTCTCAGATTATCTCTGCTCAGCATGCAGATTGAATTAAGTATGGTGAAAGGATACAACCCTGACATACACCATTTCTGATTTTAAACCACATAATTGTGATACATATTATTCAGTGATAATAGTTAAACTTTTCACAATGTGTCAGCATTCTCATTATTTCCATTCTGGTTGTTCTGTTTCCATTAGTCTAGCTTCCTTGTTTCTCCTTGCCTTCTTATCTTTTATCTAGGGTAAATGTTGACCTTTAGGTCTCATTTAGATGATTATTTCAAGGAACATGGTATTCATGGGAGTTATAATTTATTTTATAAGCCACTCTGTTTTTTGGCTGGTATGTGACCACTGGTTTGGGTTCCAAGTTTAAAGAGTGTCCCAGGAATATAATCTCAGGGGTTCCTCTAGTCTCTACTAGTACAGTAAGTCTGGCCTTTTTAGGAATTGGGGCTATGTTCTGTATTTCTCTCCTGTTCTGTCTGGGACAATCTATTGTGTTCTTGGTCAGAATGGTCAGTAGTGATAGCAAGCACCATCTAGTTCTTCTCATCCCAAGATAGTTGAGGCCGTGACTAATATAGATTATTATTACTATCATTAGTTCTTTGAATCTTTGGTTATCTTCTTTCTCTTTTGCTCCAGGTGCATAGAGAACAAGAGTTGTATCTTAGATGACCACTTCCAAGCTTTTAAGACCCCAGCTGCTACCACCAAACTAGGATGTAGAACGTTATCTTTGTGACCTATGTTATACCAGTTAGCCAAGTTACCCCTCAAGACTATAGTCCTAAACCCTCAAACCAAGTAATCCAATCCTGTGAAGTATTTGATTATATCTAAGAAATATCTGTAACTGTATCTCCTATGTACCTTATTTTATGTATGAATATATATGCAGCACACACAAATATGTACATACAGTTACTTACAGAAACACCTATACATGTATACCTATATATTCACATATATGTGTGTGTGTGTGTGTGTGTATGAGCTTAGATATCTATGTAATCCCTCATATTTTTTTTTTTTTTGTTATTACTGTTGTTGCAAAATTGTGTATGTTGTGGCTTTTACCAAAATCATTCCTTATTCTTGTTAATGATAACACTAAGTTATCATTTACCTTGGTCAAGTTGTGCTGACTTCACCCTTACTTGGTATTACCTTACCCACCAATGAAACTAACAAGTGTCTACTACCTAGAAGGTGATTCCCCCTCTCTCCCTCCTATCCCTGGTAACCACAAAAGAATGTTGCTTTCTGTATATATTCCTATCCTTGTCTTTTTACAATAGTGAGATCATATAGTATTTGTCCTTTTGTGATTGGCTTTTTCCACTTAGCATAATGTCTTCCAGATTCATCTACATTATAATGTATTTTGAGAACTCATCATTATTCTTTATGACTTCATAGTATTGCATTGTGTGTATGTACCATAGTTTTGTTTATCCATTCATCCATTGTTGGGCACTTAGGTCATTTCCATCTTTTTGCTATTGTGAATAATGCTGCAATGAACATAGGTGTGCATGTATCTGTTCACGTAAGTAGTTTTAGTTCTTCAGAGTATATACCTAGGAGTGAGATTGCTGGACCATAGGGTATTTCTACTTATTTTTTGGGTGGGAAACGCTATTCCATTTTTCACAGTAGTTGGACCAATTTACAATCTCAGTAGCAGTGGAGCAGAGTTCCAGTCTCCCTACAACCTCACATCATTTGTTCTTTTTGTTGTTGTTGTTGTTCCCCCACATTTTTATAGTGTGAGACCTCCTACTTCTTCTTCAGTATTTATTTAGCTGTTTGGAGTCTGTTTCCTTCACATATAATGGTGGGGATATGTTTTTCCATTTCGGGAAAGAATGTTGTTGGAATTTGGATTGGGACTGCATCATCTCTGCAGCTCACTTTGGGAAATATTGATATTTTCAAAATGTGAATTCTTCCAGTCTATGAGCATCAAATGTTTTTCCATTTATGAAGGCCACTTTTAGTTTCTTGCAATAGTATTTTATAGTTTTTATTGTATAAGTCTTTTACATACCTGGTTAGGTTTATTCCTAGGTGTTTTATCCTTTTAGGGGTTGTTATGGATTGAATTATGTTGCCAAAACACGTGTGCTGTAAATCCTAAGCTCTATGCCTATAGGTTATAATCCCATTTGGGAATGGGCTGTCTTTGTTGTGTTGATGAGGCAACTTTAGTGTAGGTTGTATCTTGAGTGAATCTCTTTTGATATATAAAAGAGATTAAACAAGTGAGCAGAACAGAGATAGGGGAAGACACATGCCTACCACCTTCCTGTGAGGTGTGACTGAACTTGCGCATGTCTGTGCAGAGCTTCTGAACCTCATAGAAAGGTGGTTGGCATAGCAAGGCTTGTGCATGGAAGTGTGAGTTGCCTGCACCTCAGGGATGGGTCGTGGCCATGGCTAGGCTTGTGCCCTTCAGTGTGGGCCTCCTGTTCCTCAGGGAGGGTGTGGTGTATGTGACTGCCCCCTCACGTATCTATGCAGGACTCCTGCACTTCAGTGACAGGTGATGGGCATAGAGAGGTTTGCATGTCAATGTGGATCTCCTGTGCCTCAAGTAAAGGGTGGTGCACAAGACTAGACTTGTATGCCTTGAGTCTCTCAGCCTGTACTTGAGAGCATGTGCTAAGGCAGATGGCAGGTATGATGACTGCACAAGGGTAGTTCTTTGGGAAAGGTCCTAGTTGTTAGCCTGTGGGTTGACTTTTTACTGGGTGGCTTCTATATAAATGGTCAGGTGCCTCCGCCAACAAGCAGTCCCTGCACTAATTCCTAGCTCTTCCCTTCTTCCACTCAACAGAGAGGCTAGAGTTCTCACCCCATTCCTCCCCTTTACTCCCCTACAATTGTGTACTCTTTGTCTATACTTTCTCCTTCTCTAAGGCTCTAATGACTCAGTCTGTTTCCCATTCTAGAGGCATTTCCCCATGGTTCTCTGGTTTCAAAGTTGTACTACTCCTACACTTCCCCTCTGGGGGTGTTCTGTCCCTGGCCATGTCCTGCCCACCTTGTCATTTCTTTCCAAGGTTATTTGCACAGAATCTTTGCCACCAGCTATGTTCCCTTTGTGGTTGCTTTCCTGGGTTTCTCACTCTGAGTTTTTGTTTGATGCTATCCAAAAATGGCCACACTGCTCTGCATTGGCAGGCAGGGTGTGGTCAATCTGCAAATCTCTCTTTTCTTGCTGGCTTTGTTCTACCTCTCCTTGCAGTCATTGCTCAGTCTGTTCTTTCAGCTTTGCATTTGATGCTCTGGGATCTGAATTGTTTTTTGTGGCTTGTTTTACTTAGTTTCTCAAGCCTTTGTTGTCAGATCATTACAGTGAGTTTATCTACGGTGCCATGTTGACCCTCTCCCATCATTGGGATTCTTGAAGAAAACTAATTTAAATATAATCTGTGTCACAATAATTTATTTATCAGAAATGCTTACTAATGTGATCTGTATTTATGTGTTTTGTTTCAGTATGGACCAATATTTACAGTTTTTGCTGTGGGAACCCGAATGACCTTTGTTACTGAAGAAGAAGGAATTGATGTGTTTCTAAATTCCAAAAGAGTAAATTTTGAACTAGCAGTGCAAAATCTCATGTATCGTGTAGGTAAAGAACGTTTTCAGAGAGTTCGTTACAACGTTGGAATCCAAGAATTGATTTATGTAAAAATTATGTTCTCATTCATGTGCTAACAAGGAAGTAGATAAAGGATAAGGATACAAGGGGAAAGAGTTTATGATGAGTTTTTCTGAACATTGAAAAATAAATTATTACCAGCTTAATAAATTTAGATTTCAGTTAGTTATTTGTAAAAGATAAGATCACTACTCTTAATTTTTTCTTTAGAGAATATTTGGAACCTGTATCATGTTACAAATCACAAGGTAATGCTAACTTTCTTCTGCTGCTTGTGTATACACCATTCTACAAGCTGCAGCTCTTGACTTGATTACATGTTTCTGCTGTGCTTGCTGAAAGTAGAGTTCCACTGCACAATAAGTCCTTTACTATGGCCTTTCCTGACATGTCCCATAGGGCCATTAAGGTAAGTGCAGCTTGGCTTGCACTATCACAATCCTCCATCTTCAGAGACTGCTGGATTGTACTGATCAGCATGCTTCCAGTGGGGCTGTTTTTATTTCTTCCCAGACAATAAACATGTATTTTGACTCCATTTGTGTGCCAAGAATACAGAGCTGGCTCATTTTATGCCTGGTTCTTTCTTCTGCTTTTACATGTCTGTGCTTGCTTCTACTGTCTATGGTTTCTTTGTCTCTGCCTTCTTGTTTTGTTTTTCCTTTCCTTTAGGTTTTTCTTTTCATATAGCCTCTTGTGCATTTCTTACCATTAAGATAAAGTAGTGATCAAGAAAGGTGATTATTTTTTCTCCTTGCTTGCATGAAAGAAAAAAAAATATATATATATATGTATTGGACTAGTTATAATCATTGTGAAAGATAGCAAATAGAATGTTTGCTCCATTTTGTACCTGAACAGAATTTTCTCTCCCTAAACAAACAAACATAAAACACTTTATGTGGACTTCATTTAGTTGGCACATTCTTTCTTCAGGCAAGGACCATTACAACTAATGATGTTTTCAATTTACTTGATTCAGTTAATCAAATTTCAGTCAAATGGGTCTGACACTACAACTGAAATCTTGTTTGTAAAGCTTTTTAACTCTTATGTGAAAACTATGATAAAGAAAGGGATTGAGTATCCACATCAGCCTAGGCTATATTTTCCATATGTTACTAATGAGCGGGCATGTGAGAAAAAAATGGAGAACCATTCCCTTACCATTGGATGTGTGTGTGTGTGTGTGTGTGTGTGTTTTAATGAATTCATTTGTTTAATGATTCTACCAGTATTCGTACAGCAATGACAGAGTAGTAAGCATTATATCATGGGCTTTAGACAAAGGAGCTATTAACAGCTAGAAGAACAAAGACAAAATTACAGAAGTGTGTTTTGAATGCCTAACAGTGGGGCAAAAGCTATTTGTGGGGTTTGAAAAGATCTCCTAGAGAAAGTAATATTCAAGAAGACAGTTGAAGACTCATAACGACCCCTCTTTGGGTTTCCGAGGTGGTATCGCTACGGAAGTAGATTGCCCAGTTTTCCTTCTGAGTAGTGGCTGGTGGGTTTGAACTTCCAGCCTTCTGGTTAGCAGTTAAATGCCTTAGGCACTACACCACCAGAGCTCCTAAATAGAAATTAGCAGGGGAAATTTGGAGCTTGGTGTGTGTATGTAGGAGGTTGATAAAGGAGTTAATATTCTGAGCAAATAGAACAGCTTATGAAAATTCTTTAGTTTAAGATTAGTAGTTGTAAATATGGCCTTGGTGAGAGAAATGATGCTGGAGATCACATAATAGAATTTTCTAAGACTGATGGCCTATTCATTGGAAATGCTATTTTCAGCAACATGTGGACCTCACACCTGAATCAAATTGACTACATCTGTGGAAAGAGATAATGGAGAATCTCAGTATCATCAGTCAGAAAAAGACCAGAGGCCAACTGTGAAATAAACCAACAATACTTGTATGCAAGTTCAAGTTGAAGCTAAAGAAAATTAAAACATGTCCATGAATGGAAAAGTACAGTCTTGACTTGTACTTGAATTTAGAGACCATCTCAAGAATAGATTTGATACATTGAACACCAATGACCAAAAACCAGATGAGTTGTAGGATTAAATCAAGGACATCAGGATGAAAGCAAAAAATCTTTAAAAAGACAAGAAAGAAAGAAAAGACCAAAATATATGTCAAAAGAGACTCTGAAACTTGCTCTTAAATATACAGCACCTAAAGCAAATGGAAAAAATGAAGTAAAAGAGCTGAAGAAAAGATTTCAAAAGGCAGCTCAAGAAGACAAAGTAAAATACTGTAATGAAATGAGCACAGACCTGGAATTAGAAAACCAAAAAGGAAGAACATGATCAAGATTTCTCAAGCTGAAAGAACAGAGGAAAAAATTGAAGTCTTGAGTTACAATATTGAAGGATACCATGAGCAAAATATTGAATGACTTAGGAAGCATCAAAAGAAGATGGATGGGTTATACAGAGTCACTGTACCAAAAAGAATTGGTCATTTTTCAACCATTTCAGGAGGTAATATATGAAAAAGAACATCTGGTATTGAAGGAACAAGTCTAAGCACCACTAAAGACATTGACCAAAGCAAGGCTCCAGGAATTGATGGAATGCCAATTGAGATATTTCAGCAAATGGATGCAATGCTGGAAGGGCTCATTATTCTATGCCAAGCCAACTGAAAGATACATACATTTTTACCCATTCCAAAGAAATATGATCCAACAGAAAGCAAAAATTATTAAACAATATCATTAATGTCACACACAAGTGAAATTTTGCTGAAGATAATTCAAAAACAATTGCAGCAGCATAATGAGCAGGAACTTCCAGAAAGTCAAGCTAAATTCTGAAGAGGATGTGGAATGAGGGATATGATTGCTGATGTTAGAGGGATCTTGGCTGAAAGTAGAGAATGCTGGAAAGATGTTTATCTGTGTTGTACTGACTATCAAAGCCATTTTACTGTATGGATCATAACAAATTATGGAACATTGCTAAGAATGTGAATTCCATGACGCTTAGTTGTTCTCATGTAGAACCTGCACATAGACCAAAGGCACTTTTTTGAACAGAACAAGGGGATACTGCAAGGTTTAAAATCAGGAAATGGGTACATCAGGGTTGTATCCTTTCACAAAACTTATTCAATCTGTATGTTGAGTAAATAATCCTAGAATCTGGACTGTATGAAGAAGAACATGGCCTCAGGATTGGAGCAAGACTTGACAGCCTGCAATATGCAGGTGACACATCCTTGCTTGCTGAAAGCAAAGACTACTTGAAGCACCTACTGATGAAGGTCAAAGACTACAGCATTCACTATGGATTACACCTCAATATAAAGAAAACAAAAATTCTCACTACTAGAGCAATAAGCAGTATCATGATTAAAGAAGAAAATACTGAAGTTGTTAAGGATTTCATTTTACTTGGATCCACAATCAACACAAATGGAAATCAAATGATACATTGCATTGGGCAAATCTGCTGCAAAAGATCTCTTTAAAGTATTAAAGAACAAAGATATCATTTTGAGAATTAAAGTGCACCTGACCCAAGCCATGTGTTTTCAATAGCCTCATATGCACGAGAAAACTGGATAATGAATGAGGAAGATCAATGAAGAATTGATGCATTTGAATTATAGTGTTGGAAAAGAATATTGAGTGTGCCATACACTGCCAGAAGAATGAACAGATGAATAGATCTGTCTTGGAGGAAGTACAGACAGGGTTCTCCTTAGAAGAAAGGATGGGGCGAGTTCATCTCATGTACTTTTGTACAGTCCCTGCAGAAGGACAACATGCTTGGAAAGTAGAGGGTCAGCATAAAAGAAGGAGACCCTCAACACGATGAATTGAAACAGTGGCTGCAATAGTGGCCCCAAACATGGCAATGATTGTGCGGATGGGGCTGGACTGACCATATTTTCTTTGGTTGTATACAGGTTGCTATGAGTAAGAAATGCCTCAGTGGCACCTAATAATAACAACAATATGAAAATTCTAGAATATGTACAAGAGGATATGCTTTTAATATACCTGGGATATAGATTTGGAGGAAGGGGCTGGAAATACTGCTCCAGAATTGAAGAGATGGTAGAAAGCTTTCTAAGCTTTGTTAAGAAAGGTTTAAATGTGGAAATAAACTCATCAGATTTGTGTCCGTCAGAGGTACTCTTAATCACTTATGTATAGACCGTTGCTTAATGTAAATTACTGTACAAACTTTTGCAATCTCATATTATAGGTTGAACCTTTCAAGTTTTATTTGTAAGAAGTGATTTTATCCTATATTCTGAGTTACTTGGCTATAGCCCCTACTAACCAAGTAATGTTGTTGTGTCGTTATGTGCCATCGAGTCAGACCTGACTCATAGCGACCCCTCTTTGGGTACCAGTATGGAAGTAGATTGCCCAACCTTCCTTCCGAGGAGTGGCTGGTGGGTTTTGAACTGCCAGCCTCTGCTTAGCAGTCAAGTGCCTTAGGCGCTATGCTACCGGAGCTCCTAACCAAGTAATAGTAGAAATATATTGACTGTCTCATTGCCATCAAGTTGATTCCAACTCATAGCAACTCCTGTTGGGTTTCTGAGACTGTAAATGTTTACAGGAGTAGATTGCCCCATCTTCCTTCCACAGAGTGGCTGGTGGGTTTGAACCACTGACTTTCTGGTTAGCAGCCAAATGCCTCACCCGCTATGCCACCAGAGCTCCTTATATTGACTGTATGCTTAACAAAATTGTTGCTTATTTTTAAAATAGTTCTCTTTCTTTATAGCATCAGTTCCAAAGAATATATATCTTACACTGCATGAAAAACTTTATATTATGATGAAAGGGAAAATGAGGACTTTTAACCTATATCAATTCCATGAGCAACTGACTGAAGAATTGCATGAACAACTGAAGAATTTAGGCACACATGGGACAATGGATCTGAACCACTTTGTAAGGTAAATGGATGAATTAATATGATTTAATCTTGCCTTTTTAGATTAAAAAATGTGAAGCCTAAAAGTTGTGTTTTAGAAGTTATCTGGTGAAGAAGTGTACCTGATTTGACTATTAAGAGGTTTATCGATATTTTAAATTCTAATTAATGGACAGTTTTCAGTTTATCATTTCTAAAATAAGCCAATATGATCAAATAAGCCAATATAACTCACTACCGTTGAGTTGGACCTGACTCATAGCGACCCCTCCTTGGGTTTCCGAGACAGTATCACTATGGAAATAGATTGCCCAGTCTTCCTTCCATGGAGTGGCTGGTGGGTTTGAACCACCAGCCTTCTGGTTAGCAGTCAGATGCCTTGGGCACATTATAATAGATTTACCACAATTTTTTCCTTACATTCCATAAACTGTGTACACTCTACATGGATTTAGCTTTTATGATTATCACACACTCATCAGAATTTTGATAAACCATTCAGTGCAGTTTATAATTATTAGATCAAGAGGACATTGAGAGGACAGGGAGAAAATAGAATCATGAAGTTGATGACAAAAGTCCAGAAGATGTTTGTGAAACATGATAAAGCAGCTTAGGCTAAGTCAATGTGGGCCTCCTTCTGGAGAGGAGGTGCCAGGAGACAGAACAGAGCAATGGAGGGGGCCCTGGAGTGCTTGGCCATACTCTGAAAGTTTTTAGCAAAATTTGGGGCTGACATGGGGGCTGTGAAGAAAATTCTCCACATGTATAAGGAGAATTGGTAAAATGAAGTTGCTTGGCACACTTGGTGGACTCCTAGGTTATTAAAGGCAGAATTCAACAGTTCTGGCTCATAAAACAAAATGGCATTATACATTTCATTAGAGATCCAGAAGAAAGAGAGAGAGAAAAAAAAAAAGCAAGCAAAAAGGATTAACCAAACTTTTAGAATGCCCAATAACAACAACAAAACAAAGCAAATATTCAGTTAACCTTGAAACTTTGGAGAAAGAAGATCCTGAAATTTCCAGTGGCAAATATAAATTGAAAAAATTATCTTTAGTTTGACTAATTTCAACCATGTTAACAATCTTTGATACTCTTTTCCTTAAGTATGTAACGGTAATTATTATAAAGTAAAATTTATTAACAGATACTGTATTTTTATATGCTAATCTTTAAGTTCATAGGATCTTTTTTAATATTGGAATATTTTGTGATTAATATTGCTGGCTAATATTCTTTATTTGATTATGTTTTCTTTGGTTATCCTTTCTTGGTTTGGCTATAGTTACCATAAGCCAAACAAACCAAACTCACTGCCATTGAGACTATTCAGACTCATAGCAACCCCCTTTGGGTTGCTGAGGCAATACATCTTTATGGAAGTGGATTTCCCAGTCTTCCTTTTGTGGAATGGCTGGTGGGTTTGAACTGCCAGCCTTCTGGTTAGCAGTCAAATGCCTTAGGTACTATACCACCAGAGCTCCATAGCCAAGGCTTTATACAGGCTATGTCATAGTTTGTGATTATAGGCTAAATAAATGCTTGTTGAATGGTATTGAATTAATTTATTTCTGCTTATATATTTTTTTGGGGGGGGAGGGGATAATGCTTGCTCAGGAACCATTTTAAACCTTTGGATAAATAAGACCACAATTTCAATTACCCCTAAATTATCTTCACCACAGTAAGTGTTGTGGGTTCAGAAGAAATTGATGACCACTATAATGTCCAGAATTTGGAAGAGTCTTTATTCAGCTGTAGCCGGACTGCAGGGAACTAAAGCGATCTCCTTAACTGCAGCCCTGAGCCTGATTTCAGGCAGGTTTATATAGCTTAGGGATGCAAGCAGGCAAGAAAGCGTGTTACAGAAGTGAGATAAATTGCCAGGTTATTGTTTAGGGAAGATTAATGGTCAGTTTACTATTTTAAGGAAGATTGGTGGTCACCTTATTATCAGAATGGAAACACACAATCCAGAGTGAGGGTCCTCAATTCTGAGAATTTCTGTTGACAGGATGTGGGCCCTTAACTCTGGGAATTACTATTAACAGGGCTCTCAGGGAAAGAAAGATTAGCAGGGCTGTTAGGAAAAAGGAAGGGGGGAGTGGGTTTCTCAGGGGTGTTTGGTTTAGCAAAGGAAGAAGGGAGTGGGTTTCTCACAAAAATTACAAAATAGAATCATCTACTTCATAAGCAAATATTAAAACCTCTTAAAAGTGACTTTTTTCCCAAATAATCTGTCACATATTAATTTTTATTTACTCCTAATTTGTAGCTATTAAATAATGTCCTATTTTGTATACCATGTCTTTCTACTTTTTGTTGTTTGATCTGACTTTTTAATGTGCTTTTTCTTTGTAGGCATCTCCTTTATCCAGCCACCATGAATACACTCTTTAAAAAAGACTTTTTCCCCACAAACAAGAGTAAAATCATGGAATTCTGTCAGCATTTTGAAACGTATGATAAAGGTTTTGAGCGTGGGTCCCAGATGCCAGAATGTCTGCTAAGGTAGAGAGTTGTTCCTGTAATTAATTCATTACCCTCTCAGCAATTCATATGCTTCTCTGTTGTAAGCAGACCTAACAGCAGTTTAGGTGGTAGGAAGAGAAACTATTTTTTTATGATATATTTGTTTTCGATGTGCACAGGTTGAGGCAGGAACAGAAGGAGAGAGATGATTCTTTACCCTTCACTCTTTTTTCTTATTTTGATGAGCAAAAAGAAAACCAAACCAAAAAAATTTAAAAAATGAAAGAAAGGAAAATAAATGGAAATAGAATGAAGAATTTATTTGGAGGCCTTTGTCCCATTTTCAGCTTGAGGGGTCGCTATGAGTCGAGTCTGACTCGATGGCACATAACAACAACAACAACATTATCATGTTAATTGCTGCAGTTTGGAACTATGCTAAATTATCAAGTGTGACCAGTCTCAGAATTAGAAACTACCATCCTTATTGTTTCTGAGGCAGAAGTAATCAATTTATGTGATCAACTGTATTTCTCACTTTTGGTTCAGATTAATGTGTATAAAATAGTTAAAATGCAAAGTAACTGGATAATTTTTTAATTTCTTGACAGTAAATCTACAGTAAGGAGATCTGATGGTGTAGCTGTTAAGGCATTTAGCTGCTAACTAAAATGTTAGTGGTTCAAACCCACCAGCCACTCCATGGAAGAAAGATGAGGCAGTCTGCTTCTGTAAAGATTTGCAGCCTTGGAAACCCAATGGGGTTTCTATGAGTCAGAATCTTGATGGCAGTGAGGTTGGTTTTGGTTTGGAGGTCTGCATGGTGACTTGTCAGAAAAGATTAAAAAAAGCTAAAGCTAGTTTGCTTTGCCTGGCTAACCATGCCAGCAATGGTCCTTGTGCTGTGTTTTTATCTTCCCACAGTTTACAAGCAAACCAAACCAAGCCCACTGCCATCGAGTTGATACTGACTCATACTGACCTTACAGGATGGAGTAGAACTATCCCATAGGGTTTCCAAGGCTCTTAAGTCTTTACAGAAGCAAAATTTCTCCTATGGAGCAACTGATGGGCTCAAATCAGTGACCTTTTGGTTAACATCTACATGCTTTAACCACTGTGCCACTAGAGCTCCTTGCAACAGCCAGAGTAAAAAGCAGAAAGAGCAGGATGTGGGGCCCTGTTTTCTTATCCAATGACAACCTTATAGGAAGGATTTTAACTTTTATTCACGCACACACACACACACACACACAAAAAAAACCCACAAACATGGCTGCCTTGCCCTTTCAATTGTATTTGTGAGCTAAGAAGTTTGAAGGTAGGCCTTTCATGAAATTCTAGCTAAAAGTGAAGACAGAATTTGAGGAAGTAACTAAATCTATGGACATACACAATTCTATGCTGTGACTTGCTTCTCTCTTAATGTGCTTTCAGATTAATTACTACACATTTTTTTTTTCTCTCACTTAGAAACTGGTCAAAGTCCAAAAAGTGGCTCCTAGCACTGTTTGAGGAAAACATTCCAGATATAAAATCTTATACAGCGGGAAAAGATAATTCCATGGTAAATATTCCTGGCCTTTTTGCTAAAATATTTGAGATAAAGTAATAAAATATGATGGCTAAAAATCATACTTTAGCTAAAAAAATGAGATTAATTAGATATCATTTTTGTGCCAAGCATCATGCTGGACATGTTTACATATATTCTTATAACAGTAAGGTAGGTTATTCTACATAAAACTGAGATTACAAACAAAAGAATAAAACAAAATTCTGAGACTTTTCATTGATTTATATATAATCATACAATTGTGTCAACAGTGACAGAAAGGAATAATGGTAAATTAGGAAAGGATAAGAAAACTTTAGGAGCTCTGGTGACATAGTGCCTAAGGCACTTGACTGCTAACCAGAAGACTGGCGGTTCAAACCCACCACCCACTCCTCGGAAGGAAAGTTGGGCAATCTACTTCTGTAGTGATACTGCCTCAGAAACTCAAGGAGGGGTCACTATGAATCAGGTCTGACTCGATGGCACATAACAACATAACAACAAGAAAACTTTATAAAGTAGACTTTGTTCTTGATGCCACTACCACTAGGTGTTTCTCTTTTCAAATGCCAGGAGTTAATATGGCATAATTCTAAAAGCAAGCCATTAAGAGTTGATGTCCCAAGTGTTAGTGTAGGTCTCTGGTTCTCACAGTGTGTTCCCAGACTGGCAGCACCAACAATACCTGAGAACCACTCACTCAGAAATTAGGGTGGAGCCCAGAAATCTGTGTTTTAGCAAAATCTCCAGGTGGTTCTATTGCTCACCGACATCTAACCACCACTTTTCCAGATGAATGGTTCTCAACCCCAGCTGCTTGTTAGAATCACCTCTGGGAGCTTTTGAAAACTACCTCATGGCCAGGTTTACTCTCAGAGAAGGGATGCATTTGGTGTGGACTGTGTGGGCTCCAATCCAGTCACCAGTTGTGTAACTTTGGGTAGAATACTTAAACTCAATCTCATTTTCCCACCTGTTACATGGGGTTTGTAATACCTTCCTTAAACTCAATCTCAGTTTCCCACCTGTTACATGGGGTTTGTAATACCTTCCTCAGAAGGTAGTTGTGGAGATTAAATGAGTTGATATTTGGAAAGCACTTAGGATAGAGTGCCTGGTACATCACTTTTGCACAAGTCGATTCTGAATTAAGGCAACCCCATGTGTGTCAGAGTAGAATTGTGCTTCCAAGAGTTTTCAATGGCTGATTTTTCAGAAATAGACCACCAGGCTTTCTTTCAGGGTATCCCTGAGTAGGCTTGAACTTCCAAACTTTTGCTTAGCAGCTGAGCACATTAACTGTTCATACCACCCAGGGGCTCCTGGTACATGGTACTTTATTTAAGAGTTTATTATCATTGTGCCTCTCGTTATGAAAAAACTCAATTCAGATCTTATAGTATTTAAACATAATATCCAAAGTTGTTGTTTGTTTTCAGTTATAGAACAAGTGTTGTTACAAACAACCCTGCTTACCACTGGAGGAAGATAATCTTAGAAAAAGCTTGTGTGAATATTTAGGTATATCCCTCCTGACTATATAGCAGCCCCCTTCATTGACAAACTGTGCTTCACCTAATGGTTCTGTTTTACAAGCCGAATCCAACAAGCACACATTTTTCTTTGCAGTTATTTTTCAAGATTTAGAGTCAGGGCCACGTGTGTATTAAAAGTACATCCAGATAGATCTGTAATTTATGGACTTAGTAAACAGGGTCAGTAAAGCCCCAGCTAGAACTCCCTTCTAACACTGCTTCTAGAATAGTTTATTTTTCTTACTGGGAAGAAAGGAGATATTTTTTAATCATAGTCATGCTAACTCCTATTTGAATAAAGACAAAATTTGAACTTTGCTAAAGCTAATCCAGCTTGAACCTTCATGAGCGGTTTAAATTTTTTTTTCCCCCTAATGTATTGCTTCTTTGTTTTTCTCCAGCAGAGCTCACAATGAGCTTATGTTTTCATACCCACCTTTTTTTTTTTTTTTTAATGGTCTAAGAAAAAAAGGGTTTTTTTTGTCTTTTACTGGATAAGTAGATGTTTTGGTTACCTAATACTGCTCTGACAAGAATATACCACAAATGGGATGGCTTGAAGAAACAGGAGTTTACTCTCTCACAGTTTGGAGGCTTTAAGTCCAAGTTCAAAGTGCCAGGCTCTAGGGGCTGGATGAAAGCCCCTCAAACCTGGGCTTCAGCTCTGCCTCCTGTTCCTGGCCCACTGAAGCTAGAGGCTTTTTCTTCACTCAGCTGCTGGCTACTGAGGCTGACAAGCCCAAGGTCGACAAGTACAAAGGCACAGTCCCAATGTTATCAAACCACATAGCAGGCCATTAATTCAAATCCATTGGAAGTCCCAAGGTTGGTAGAGCATGGCAGGCTGCTGCAATGACATGGCTACATGCAGGGTTCAAGTGTGCCATAAGCTAGAGTCTGTTCCCCAAAGCTTCTTTTATACAGGAAGCAGACCACATCCCTAAGGCAGCTACTCAGCTGCTCACAGTAGATTCCACCATAGAGTTGATTACCGGTCACATCATGGGGAATACTACATCCAGCTGCCCAGCCACTCAACCAGGCCCAGCCAAGTTGACACACAAACTTAACTACCACAATTCCACCCCTTGTCAGCTTGGCACTTGTGCACATCTCCTTCACTGAGTGGCTCTAATGCCCTAGTCCTGGAGTGGTGACCTCACCCTTTGACCTGGCATGCCCCATTCCTCTACGTCTTGGGCATGGTAGCCCTGCCCCCTCTCTCTTGGTTAGCACGTATGGCTCCATCTCACTGGCCCACATGAACAAGCAGCCCCGCACTCCAAAATCAAGTTGGTGAAGGTCTAACTCTTTGAAACCTAGGGGGCTAGGGTGGTTCCACCCCCAGAGGCCATGATCCTACACTTTGAGGCTGAGGCAGCTCTGCTTCCCATTTCCTTGGTCTCTCCGTTTCTACTGATTATTGCCAAAGGCAACCCACTAGGCAGGAAATCTACCTTCCCCCAAAGCAGTCAGCTTTCTTGCTCTGTGGGCCAGCCAAACTGCTACACCATTTTATGCCAGTCTCTTCTACCAATTAATGCCTAAAGGCAACCCACTGTGCCAGGAAGCCGCCTGTGCAATGGCGTCCAGCTTTCTCCTCTGCAAGCTGGTGAGGCTGTCGCTGTCTCATGCCAGTTCCATGTGGACTACTACATCCAGCTGCCCAGCCACTCAACCAGGCCCAGCCAAGTTGACACACAAACTTAACTACCACAGTAGATTTCAGTGGCCAAATGAAATAGAGAGCTGGGTAGAACTTTTGGTTTTTCTTGTATTAAATATTCTGTACACATATCCCATAATAAATGTAAAATGTGTGATTTCCTGCACATTATTCTAGATATACTCTGTATTAAACCACTATTTTCATTTCAGAGTTTTACTGCTCCACAAAATAGCATAACAAAATGATGAAATACATCTATAGGATTTTCATGAAGTATAAATGCAAGCTTTGTAGCTTTGTACTGCAATAACGTATATTGCAATTATGATACAAATCACCAGGAAATGGAATTTATACTAAAAAGCTATTTTCTTTTCTTTTTTTTTTTTTAATT